TGCCTCGGGCTTCCTGTAGTCAGCCGCTGGTCAGTTTCAGCAGCGGCTGAATCTGGACGCCAGTTCCGACTTACATACAGATTCAACTTAAGAACAAACCTACAGTCCCTATCTTGTACGTAACCTGGGGACTGCCTGTACTGCCTCTTACACAAAATGTTGTTGTGCTTTACAAGTGACTGAAGCACATGTCTCGCCTCATGCTCGGGCTTCCTGTAGTCAGCCGCTGGTCAGTTTCAGCAGCGGCTGAATCTGGACGCCAGTTCCGACTTACATACAGATTCAACTTAAGAACAAACCTACAGTCCCTATCTTGTACGTAACCTGGGGACTGCCTGTACTGCCTCTTACACAAAATGTTGTTGTGCTTTACAAGTGACTGAAGCACATGTCTCGCCTCATGCTGCAGATGAGAAGGTGTTCCTATTTGTTTCTTTTTAAATCAGTCTTTGAGCGACAGTTATCAATTGGCACATTGCTGAATTTGTCCCTAAGATCTGCCCGTCCAATGTCACCCTGAGCTACATTAAGGAAGTGTTCTCCTCATTGGGCAATACAAACATGCTCGCTTTAATACGACAAAGAAAATCAAGATGACACATTTTCACCTTGTCTTTTTTATTGTAACCTTATTGTGGGGTTTCTGTCTCCCATGTGAACTGTATTTTTCAGATCCAGGCATAGGTCTCAAACCCTCCCAGATCTGCAAGATGTTTTGCATTTCAAGGCACAGCTGTTACTATCCACATAACTTCAAGGACTTAAAGTGCCTGTAGGAGAGAGTGGGGAAAGTTTAATGGCAAGTTTTCTCCCTTCTCTCTTCAGCATGTGATGAGTCCAGAGATAAGTCTCTGCTAGAGAGCTGTTGTCAGCACACTAACAAGTCTACAAATGGGCACTTGTTTGGCCTCTAGTTTTCCTGAAAGTTAGCAGCTTTGAGAAACCTGGGTCTGAATAACTCACACCTGACAAACTATTTTCAAGACTCTATATGATACCACCTAATACAAAACTACAGTTTAATAAACTATTATATAGGTTAATTCAGTGGTGGCATTATATGTATGAAGTGTATTGGCAGGAATAATTACGCCAGAGTGAAAACCACCAGACACAAATAGCAACATTTTTATTTTGTTAGGATGCCTCTTTCCCGCTAATCCTGGAGCTTCCTCAAAGGCCTGCAAAGTATATGGGTTTTACATGTTTTCCCAGTTTTGTTTCTATTGGGTTTGTTTGTGCTTTTGGTTTCTAGAACTTGTGAGCAATTTGAAACTCTTCTTTTCTTTGGAGAGTGGCTCTGTAACAGGCAAGACACAACTTGCAACATCTTACCCTGTAATACTTCTCTTCCTCCTCCTCTTACATTTTTACTTTGTGTCAAAGTTGATGTTGGTCGCTATGTTGGCTAGTTAAAAAAAGTGTAATAATTTTGGACAGCAATTTACTAAGCTTTTCCCTCTTCTGCACACTGAATGTCCAGTTTTGGTAACAGTTTCTTTGTTGTATAATATCATATGCCACAAGTTTTTTTTAAGTATGTACTTGTAATTTTAGTGAACACTTTAATACAGATTATGGAGCTCAGATGAGATGTTCTCTAGAATAACAAAGGTTATGTCTAAACTTGTACTTGATCACTTGCTTGACAAAACTTTTGTTGTACACAGGTGCTTAATCCCTTTCTGCCCCATGAACGACAAAGTTTTGCTGTGACAAATGAAAATATGAAAGCTGCTTTGGCAGGAGCACTCTGCTGCCAACAAAGCAGTTGGCCAACAAACAGTGTTCACACGCACATGCTAACTTTTAGTGACAGGAATGTGTCGACACAGTCTTGTCACTCAAAGCTGTGTAGCATAAACATACCCAAAATGATAGCTTTTGGGCTTGTTTGGGAGAGAAAATAGGCTTTTTATAGAATCACAGAACACTAGAACTGGAAGTGACCTTGAGAGGTCATCAAGTCCAGTCCCCTGCCCTCATGGCAGGACACAGCTGTCTCTAGACCATCCCAGATAGATGTCTGTCTAACCTGCTCTTAAATATCTCCAGAGGTGGAGATTCCACAACCACCCTAGGCAACTTATTCCAGTGTTTAACTACCCTGACAATTAGGAAATTTTTCATAATGTCCAACCTAAACCTCCCTTGCTGCAGTTTAAGCCCGTTTCTTCTTGTCCTATACTCAGAGGCTACGGAGAACAATTTTTCTCCTTTCTCTTTGTGACACCCTTTTAGAAACCTGAAAACTGTTATCATTTTGAAACTAGCAAGACTGTTTAAACATTAAGCTCTGTATAGCTAACTTTAAAATATTTATTGCATATTTTTACACTGTAATAAAAGACGAGTGCTAAAAAGAAATGGTAACTAATATTACAATTTACTTTGGGCATGGTCATCTGATGGGGTTTATTAAAAGAAAATTTGTTGTAACTTCTAATTGTCACCCCAAAATGATCCTTCTAAATACTATATCCATATGACCAGGGCTCTTCTTAACTGCCATAGTTTTGGCATAATTTGTATTGATTGTAATATGTTGTATTACATTTAATGTGAAAAGCTGACTGCTTCCGTTTGAGAACAGTTTCTCCTGCTTGCCATTAAAAGGATAAGATGGACATTTAGGCTCTATCTGTAGCTAAATCTTGTACTAGTATTGTAGTGTTAGCCAGGGTATGAAAAAACTACTCCCCTAACAGACATAGTTATGTTAGCAAAAAATATAGAAATAGATATGGTGATATAGAAGTGCTTCTCGTCATTCAGGGAGGTGGAGTTTTTACAGTGGCTGGGAAGCTCCTCCTGTCGGTGTTTATTGCATCTGTGCTAGGAAGCTACGCCAACATAATTGTACCACCATAGATTTTGTAGTATAGACTAAGACCTGTTCTATGTGGGGAAAAATGTTAAATTATCTTAACTGTGTTGCTCAGAAGTCTGAAAAATCCACATCCCTGAGTGGTGTAGTCAAAAGTCTTCCTTCAGCCTACTTCTTGGGTAGGTGGATTACCAATGACATTTGAAGAACCCTTCCCATCAGCATAGGCAGTGTCTACACTGAAGCACTACGGTGGCTCAGCAGCCCCCCTGCAACTGTTGCTCTGTACTGTAGATGTTTACTCTAGTAAATCCACCCTTCCATGAGGCAGAGACTTATTCTTCTTTCAACCTAGTGGTGTCTACACAAGGGTATCGGTTGGCATAATTACATCTCCCAAGCATATACATTTTTCACACCACTAAGCAATTTAGCTAGGTGAATCTAAGTTTTAGGTATAGATTAAAGAGGGGAAATGTGGTTTGTTTGTGTTTGTGTTTGTGTTTGTTTGAGAGGTGCTGGGAAACATTATAACATCTGCACATACTAGCAAATATTATTTGTTACACGTGTAAACAGGTATGCGACTTGCCTTCAGTCACAGAAAGGATGGTAGAGCTGGTCCTGTGATCCAGGAGGCTGATCGCTAGCTCAGTTACCTATTCTAACCCATTAGACAACAGTGCATTCAGTAGGAAGCACTTTTTGGGTACGTCTAGAATACATGCCTCTGGCGACAGAGGCATGTAGATTAGACTACCCAGCATAGGAAAATGAAGTGGTGATTTAAATAATTGCTGCTTCATTTAAATTTAAATGGCTGCCACGCTGAGCCGCTCAGCTGTTTGTTGGCTCAGCGAAATAGTCTGGATGCTCCGCGGTCAACATCAAAGGCATTTGTCGACCTCCCCGGTAAACCTCATCCCAAGAGGTAGTAATTAATGCCAAAAAGAGGCACAAGTGGTTTGAAAGAAAATTGCATGTGGCCCCTAGCTTGCAGATCATGTATGGCTATGTTGGTTCCATTTGTTTAAGTGGCGAAGATAGCTTTTTGATGTTTGGCATTAATCTTTACAGCTGTGTTAGGATTGCATAGGCTTAAGGAAGGCTGTTCCTCACACATTATTCTATAAAGTAGTACAAAAAGTGTAAAGCTTTATATTATAACCTATTAGCAATAGAATAATTTATTGGAAGTTGTGTATGTCAGAAACCTTGTAGCACAAATTTCTTATCTCATACATATTTTCAATATGACATGTATTTACAAAAATGTGAAATCCACTTGCACATACTTTTTTAGTTGAAAAATCATTTAAACAAAGTATTATGTATGTAAACTTTAAAACCTGTCTTATGCAACCATAACTTACAGCTATGGTGCCTATCACTCCAAAGAACTTCAGAAACTGAAAGTCATGACGTGTCTCATACTGTGCTGCAACTTTGCATAACAATTTTAGACAGAAAGAAAAGAATACAATATCCTATTGAATTTGCAGTGGAAATATAGGTTCACAGAACTTGGTTACCAGAGTTAGAAATTTCACTGTTCTAAAAGCTGAGGTCTTTAATGCCACATCCGCAGTATAGTGTGCCCTAACTCTCTATTCTGGGGCTTGGATTTAATAAAGGGATCTACCATATGGGCAATAAACAGCATTTTCAGCAGCATCCAAGTGCTTCTGGAAAGCACCTTGTCAAGCATGGCCACTAGTAGCATGTGCAATAAGATGCTGTTAGAGAACAAGTTGGGGGTTCTTATGAAATGCCATGTAGTTCAGTAATTGGGAAATAAAAGTTTAACCTCATGGATGTAATGAAATGAAAAATATGCAATGAAATGTTACTAAATATACGTGTGTGTGTGTATATATATATATTCTAGGTTGGGCAATGCAGGTTGCTGCTTTTATTTTCATTCAGAGGAAATGGGAAGCTGACAGGAATCACTTTGAAAACATGCTGGATTATTTTTGTGACATTCATGAACCTCTACAACTCCTCATCTTTCCTGAAGGAACTGATCTCACAGGTAAATTAGTTGTCTCCTTTTGGATGTAATTAGGCAGGTATTTGTATGTATTAAGGAAATAGTTCCAAAATGTGTATTTTAAAAAAAGAAAATGATTGTGGAGTCTCGTAAACAATGATTAGATTGTCTCTTTGTATGTATAGATGATCTAGTATTATTAGAGAATCTAGTAAATTCCAAATTCATACTATATATTAGGGATGTAATAGTGTAGTTGGTTAACTGATAAGCTTTTGCGAAAGCTTATCATTTAATGCTATAGACTGTATGCATTTTTCGCCCCACCCCACCCTTGCCAGTACATTTTTAGCAGGCTGGCCAGCAACCTGGTTTAGTCCTGGATCGCACCAGTTTCGGGTCCTACCCCCACTGTGGCTCTGCATTTAAAGTGTATTAGAAGCCAGGTGGGCAGGCAGCCTTACTCAGTTCTGGCTCATGCTGGGTCTGGGAATTCAGCCCCCCTGTGCCCAGACAGGGGCTGCTGCCACCCCATGCTACTGCATCTGTATCAGAGGTAGCAGCACAGGGCGATCAGCAACCTGTCCACGAGGGGAGCTAGTTTTTAAACTGGCTCCCCTTGTGAACGAGGTCCCACCTGGCACCCTGTGCTGCTGCCTTTGATACAGAGGCAGCAGCGCAGAGTGGCAGGGGGCTCCTCAGGAGAGGGGCCAGAGCACACTGGCTGCCAGCCCCACTCCCTCAGGGTATATAGAATAGTTGAGTAACCAATAAGAACCCTGAGGTTAATTGACTATTCAATTAACCTATATTTAACATTCCTACTATATATGACTTCACTCAGGCTATGTCTACACTGCATACTTATTTTGAAATAACAGAGTGCGCGTCTACACAGGAAGCCCGTTATTTTGAAATAATTTAGAAATAACGGGCTTCTTACTCTTGACTTCTGTAATGCTCATTTTACTTCTGTAATGCTCATTTCACAAGGAGTAAGGGAATTTGAAGGAAGAGTGCTCCACCAAAAGCTAAGTTAAGCTACTTTGACTTCAACTACACAATTAATGTAGCTGGAGTTGCATATCTTAACTTGACTTTAGCCTGCAGTGTAGATGTCCCATCAGGGTTAAATCAGTATTTATGTATTAAACATCTTACTTCAGATGAGTTTGGTAAATTTCTATTGAAACTTTCAATGCCATTTAGATGTATGATGCTTCTTATAGGAGAGGCTGTTTTTTTTTAAAGTCTGACAAGTCTGTACAGCAATGGGTAAGTCACATAGCCTATCTGTTCTTGAGTGTTCTCCTTTGATGGGGATGATAACCTCCCTACCATTTGAAAAAAAATGCTTTTAGACCTATAGAGAAAAAGTGCTAGCTAGATTCTTACTGCAGTATTTTTCACTGCCTGGTACCACCGGGAAAATTTGCATCAGAATATCATATGTAGTTGTTTCTAGATTTAGATAAATATTCTATAGCTATCTTTGAAAAAGGCAAACATTTTAAAAAATTATTTAAATGTTAACACTTTATTCTACTTAACTAATTTATATTGAAATAGAATTAGTAATATTTAATGTTCAATAAAAATATAATTACTACCTTAAGAGGTCCAGTGGTAAGGTGCTAGCCAATGTTGATTTGAAATTCAGATTCTATTTTAGGTAGGGCTATCAAGCAATTAAAAAAAAATAATTGCGTGCGCTGCCCCTTTGAAATGCTGCAGTGGTGTTTCAATGGGGCAGCACTGCAGGAGCCCGGGATCAGCTGGAGTCTTCAGCTGATCCTAGGCTCAGTGCAGCTGCCCCTTTGGAATGCAGCAGTGGAGTCTCAAAGGGACAGTACTGCATGGAGCATGGGATCAGCTGGAGTCCCCAGCTCACCCTGGCTCTATGCAGAACTGCCCCTTGGAAATGCTGCTGCTGCAGTATTTCAAAGGGGTAGCACAAGCAGAGCCTGGGATCAGCTGGGGACTCCACACTGGCATTTCAAAGGTGCAGTCCAGTGCAGCCAGGGAACAGCTGGGGACTCCAGCTGATCCCAGGCTCCTACTGTGCTGCCCCTTTGAAATGCCAGCGTGGCATTTCAAAGGGGCAGCACCATGGAAAAGCCTGCTATTAACGTATTTAAAAAAATTAACACACTAATTGTGCTCTGCATTAATTGCAGGTTTTAACACGTGTTAATTGACAGCCCTAATTTTAGGTCTTTCTATAAACTTTTTCTTAGCACTTTCCCATTCCTCAACTATAGCTTAGACTACTTCTACGGTAGACAGTTTTTATAGCCACACCTTTGTGCCAATGCAGCTTTATCCCTTCAAGTTTTCCAGTGTAGCCACTCCATGCTGTTGGGGACAGAGCTCTCCCATTAACATAATTAATCCTCCCCAAATGAGCAGCAGTAACTGTGTCAGAGGGAGAACTCTCCTGGTGACATAGATTATGTTACTTCAGCTTTGGAATATTCAAACCCCTGAGTGATACAAATTTTGCTGACATAAATGGTAAAATAGACACAGCTTTAGCCATTGCTTCTGGTAAAAGAGAGAGTTATGAAGATTTTGGTTAGCTGGTCTTTCACCAGTGAGTATGTGATGTAAGAGCTTTGCTCTAAGTTCTACTCTAACTGCATATGCTGGATTTTATTTTGAAGCAAGATCTGAAAATTTTTGGTTTGATTTTTCAATATCTAAGGTGTATTGCTAATTTTTCTCCCATTCCGCATATCCCGAGTGAGTTTATAGATGTTGTTGGCAGATGGATTTTTATGGTGCCTGAAAGTAGAGTAGTCAGATTGTAAGAGGTCATAGAAATGGTCTTAATCTGATCCATGTTGCTAACGGATAATGGATTAACTGACTCTTTGCACAACTTCACCTGATAGTCTCTCATTTTAAATTAATACATTTACATGTAGAACAAGGAAGGAAGATAGGGGAAAAAAAATCTTTCAGTTCATTAGCATCCTCCCATGTGTTTTTTCTTTCAAGAGGGGAATAGCTTTCCCAACCCTAAGTTCCTAGAGAGAATTCCCCTTCTTTATCTTAGATTCATGGTTTGAAATCCTAGTCCCATTGAAGTTAATAGCAATACTATTAACCCTTCATAAGGATCAGGATTTAATTCCTGGTTTTCAAAGCTGTTGTTGCCAGAGTCGATCATGAGGTGTTTGGGCCACTCCCCATTTCCCCACACCCCTACACCCACTTTTAGTGTCTGACACAGTATTTTATTTAAAAATGAAGCCTGGCCAACAAACTCCTAATTGGGGCCAAACCCCCATCCAGCCATAGCATCATAACACTACTGCATCCCCCCTCACCCACCCGACCCTACAGCTGAGCTTATGATACACTGGAACCCCCTGCCCCTCACCCCTCACATACCCAATCCAAATTCCTGCACCCTTACATCCACAAGCCTGTGGCTTGCTTAATACCCCCAATCCTCCATCTGACTCCAACACACCCCAGCCTGGAGCCCCCTCCTCGAGCCAGCATCCCCTTCGCCACCTCCTGCATCCAAATTTCCCCCCAGAGCTTGTACCTCTCACCTCTTCCCACACCCAAATCCCTAGTTCCCACCCCAGAGCCCACACATCCTGTCTCAACCCAGTGAGGGTATGGCTAGCCTGCAGGAGTTTTCCAGGATTCCAGAAATATTCCAGAAAAACTCTTCTACATCCAGGGACACGTTTGTTCTTCCGCTTTTTTTAGTGGAAGAGTAAACATCCTCTTTCAGTAACCCCTGTATTCCTCGTTCCACGAGGAATAAAGGGGCTTCTGAAAGAAGGGGTTTTTCTGACATTTGGTCCCGTCTAGAGAGGCCAAATCTTGGAAAAGCCTATTCCTACAGAAGAATCCGGGGGGAAAAAAGTGGCAGTGTGGAATGTCTAAGAGTTGGGGATAGCAAGTGAAGGAGAGGAGGAGAAGAGAGGGCAGGGCTTCAAAGAACGGGTGAGGCACTGGAAGAAGGATGAGGTGGTAGATCTTGGCTTGTTCTGACATTTAAAAAGTGATCTTGGGTGTAAAAAGGATGGAGACCACTGTACTAGACTATTCGTTGTTTTTTAAGGGTTTTTTGCATTTAAATGGTTGAGGTAATGATCCATGCATAAAGTTTACAAGTCATTTTAAAATGTTGCCTACAATATTAATAACTATTTTATTTGTCATAAATAATTTATTTGCAAACTACATGTATGGGGGCAGGGAGAATACTTTTCTTTTTGATACTTAGGTAATTATTTCACATGAGTTTGGGAAAATTGCATCAGATTATATATAATTTTTCTTGCAATGGTAGAAAATTCTGTTGCAAACACACTGCAAAAAATAACTCCTAACAGAAGAGCAAGTAGTTAGCCTTTCTGAAACCCAGAGCTCTAAAAGAATTCAAAGGAATCTTATGTCCAGTGCATCAGAAGACTTATCATAACCCACCTTTTTATTTGTTGTCTTGTTGTAATTGAATTGTTTGCTCCCTGCTGTTAATTCCCAAAGGATTTTTAATGACTCCGTTTTTACAGAACAGGCTACTGAGGAATGATGTAGCCCAGATCTCTGCAGGAATATTATGATACAAAATATGGACAGTACTCTCTTAGGAATGCCTGCAGTGCCACGTTTGTTTCCTCTCTTTGTGGTTTTCTATTGAGCACTGTGTAATATGGGATGACAGTCAATGTTCCTATGTATTCAAAGACACCGGGAATGCACAATCTGATATGTAATAACTTGAAAATGGCATTTAATGTCTTAAACAGTTCACAGTAAAAATAACAATTTCACAACATATCCTTAAGTAGAATGTTAACGGAGCATAAATACAACTGAGATGGGCACTATGCAATCTTCCAAAAAAAGATAAATGAAGCTGCTTAATTAAAGGAAAACATAATTGAAAGTGACCAATTATTCAGTTTTGTAGTGTAGGACCAATGATAATTGGAGAATATATGAATTATTGAGAGTAGTGTCATGGGTTTTCAGCCAAAGCCAGATAGGAGGAAAAAAGTGGTGATACTGTCCTT